CGCATATCTGAAACATGTAAAGAACTCCTACAAAGCTATAAGATAAGACGGTGTGACAAGGTTGAAGTGGAGATGGTAATGAACTACTCGGAGACAATGGCATTTGTAACTGAGGGACTAAGAGCAACCGTTCACTAAGCTAGTGAAGGCCCAGAGTCAAAGTCCAATGGATATTTATTATGAAAACTGTGGGAAAAGTAAATGAGCAGGGATAAAGGAGGGGGAGCCCCCAGGGCAGAACTCCTGAAATCTTATTTGAATAGATATATTGCATACTCCCTTGAGTTCAAGGATGCAGCAGTTTCTAACAACTGGTGTTATCACCTTGAGAAATACTGTGTGAAGCACGTCCCGCATGGGTACTGGCACCATGTGTCTCTTCTGGCTGTGCCCAGAGGTCATGGCCGTCCTCTTAGCAGAACATATCACCAGATGTTAACCCTCTACAAGAAGGCCTAATAGAAAATGAACACAATACTTGAACAGATATCCAAATAGCAAATTAATGTATGAAAATGGATTAAACCTCACTGGTTATCAGAGCAATGCAAATTTAAACCACGATACCACTACACACCCAACAGAATGGCTAAAATTTTTAATCTTTTTAGAATGACAATACCAAGTGTTGATGAGGATATGGAGCAACCGGAACTCCGGCAGGAGTGTAAATTAGTATGAGCACATTGAAAATTGTTTAGTTGCATTTACTAAAGCTAAACATAGGACCTAGACCCAGTAATTCTGCTCCTACGTATATATCCAATAGAAATATGAACATAAGTATACCAAAGGACATGAACAAAAATGTTCTATTAGCCTTATTCATAATAGCCCAAACTGGAAACAACCCAAATGTCCACCAACAAAATTATAGATAAATTGTGGTATATTCATTTAACAGCATAATGTACAGCAATGAAAATGAATGAGCCACTGCTACCACAATGTTATGGATGAGTTTCACAAGCACAATATTGAGTGAGAGAAGCCAGATACAAAATAATACCCACTAAATGGTTCCATTTATATGAAGTTCAAAAGTAGGCGAAACTAATCTATTAGTTTAGTAGTGTTAGATAGAGTTTACCTTTGGAAAGGAGGGTGGGGTTGTGACCAGGAAGGGACAGAAGGAGGGCTTCTGGGGTGCCCATAATGATCTAATTCTTGAACTGAGTGGTGGTTATACAGGAGTATTCACTGTCATAACTTATTGACCTGTACATTTAGGTTTGTGACCAGGAAGGGACAGAAGGAGGGCTTCTGGGGTGCCCATAATGATCTAATTCTTGTACTGAGTGGTGGTTATACAGGAGTATTCACTGTCATAACTTATTGACCTGTACATTTAGGTTTTGTGCACTTTCCCATATGTCTGGTATACTTCAATTAATAATAAAAATACCCACAGGAGAAGGGAACTTTTTTAAGATGGGTAAAATAATGGAAGGTGGGAAGGGAACAGAAGAGAGATCAAGATTTTATACATAGGTAGCTGAGCTGCGGCAAGATTAAATGTGGTGGGGGTAAGGTTGTCTTCAGCCCCACTGAAGTGTCCCCAAATACAACAGCCTTAATTCCCCACTGAACCTCACACCCCCTGTGATCACAAGCCTCATTCTTCTGGAGACGGGGTCCAATGTTTCCCAGTCTAGAAGCTAATGCAGTCACTAGGCAAAGAGACCCAGTATTTGAAGCCAAAATTGGGGTTCTGACACGCTGACGTTTGCTCTACGAGGTCCCATGAGACTGCAGGCCATTAACGCAAATACGCTGGCAGCTGAGCTGGAATAATCCTAGGGGTACTAGATTGGGGGTGGGGGAAGCAGTGGGGTTGTGTATACATACGCATATTTGTCATCCTTGTCCAAAGGAACGAACTGCTCACGTCGCAGTGTGTGCTCTTGTGTGCATGTCTGCTGAAAGCTTCATAGCCTGCACTTTGTTCCCCTGTCCCCAGGCATATCTGCTCCAAACCCATTCAGGGGTCTGGAGTCATGCTCGAATGCCCCCTGAGCCACTTTTCGGTAGGAAAAAGGCAGGAAGGAACCACTGGTCACAGGTTCCACCGACAAGAGGGGAAAACCTGGGGGTGGGGGTTCCTTTATGGGGTAGGTCACACCCCCTGCACAAAAACATCCCAGAGAGAACTGGTACTGAGTTTGCGTTGGAGAGGTGGCGACACCCCAGAGAGGAAGTGGCAAAAGGCGAGCATGGGAACACCCCTCTTTGATCCCACAAGGTGCGTCAGGGAAAGTTGGATTTCGTTTAGCCCGGGATGGAGACACCTCTCCCCACGCCGCCACCAGGCTCGGTGGGTCAACGGAAGCAAGGCTCCCCTCCGCCCATACCTCAGGTGACGCGTGTGGGACCCCAGCTGCGAGTCTGACCTCTTTTCCCTCTCGCTCATCCCCACCCCTTTCAAGGCTGGGACTTTATTAAGGCCTGATCCGTCAGGGCTGAGCCATTTGCTTGGAGGAACACGGAACCCGGCGGAAGCGCGAGGTGACGAGTGCACGAGAGGGGGGAGCTGTGTCCAAGAACTAGGTAGGGACGGCTCTGTCCGGGTACTGAGCGCAGTGTCGGCGCCCAGGCATGGCTGCTTGAGTCCGCGGGCTCAGCGATGGCTGGCGGGCTCTCCAGGGACGCTTGCCGGTCTTCTCGAAGGCCAGGGATTCCAAGGAAACACTCAAGACGCGGGAGTAGACGCGCAGAGGCGCAGCCGCCTTTCCAAGGCTCCGGGAGCGCCGGCGCGGCCGAGCGGGCCCGAGAGCGGCGCACTGCGCAGTGAGCGCGGCCGCGGGCGGAGGGGCGCTGGGACCCACGCGCTCGCGCGGCGATAGCCGGTTCA